AAATGGGTCTTATATTTAGGACCAAAACCAACTTAAAAATTAGGTCATATATTAAGGACCGGAGGAGTAATATATAAGATAATGTAATTAATAAATAATTAATATGTGTATATATATTTATAAAATATAAGATTAAATATGCTTATAAAAAAATAATTGAGGGGTATTAAAGTTATATTACCGTTGGAATATACACTGATAGATATAATTATACTTTTCAATTTAAGTCAGAAACAGAATGAATTCACTTCTTCTGAAATTATAGTTTTGACCCAAAATCATGGTTTATCTATTTGTCTTTATGTTCGGCAAATTTCTGACCAAAACTATGGTTTGGATCCCAAAACCATCATTTGGGTATTTTGCCACTTTGAGTTACAAGTGAACTTTTTATTAGTTAGTCCCTTCATTCTCTCCGCCAGCGAACAGTATGATTTGTGGCCAGATGGCAATATTTCTTCCCTTCATTCTCTCCGCCAGCGAACAGTATGAAGAGGGTTTGTGCAAATAGACCGATCATAATAATTAAGAGAATGCAAGGTGAGAAAAGTGTGCGTGTCCGTAGAAGTGTGGTGATCTTGGATTGAAAATGACGAGAAGAGGTGTCCCACAAGGTTTGATTCCAAATTGAAACCACATGACAGAGCGAGTGACGTGTGGAAAGTGGACGACAAGGTTTATAATTACACAGACGATGACTTGTAGGGCAATCATCATAGGTTGAAGATAACAATAAACCGACCTCCAAAGTAAAAAATACCCAGAAAGTTTAGGTTTTGAAGGCCTAGATACCCAAAAAATCCATTCCAAATCCCATAAATTTAACATTTTCACAAGTGGTAAGCAATAATGATGCTTCCTTTGCAGAACAAAACAAGATTTGTAGTACAACAGTAACTAGAGACAATTCAATGTTCAAAAACCTACTTTCCTACCAAAACTAGGACTGTTCTCCAATCTCTCTCTCTCTCTATATATGTATAATGCAGTCTCCTTCAATTCCTCTCTCGGGTTCAGTTTGAAATTTCCCCACTAATAATTTCCTACCTAGCTTGTTGTCCCATAATAATGACCATCAGGAAAAGTCAAGAAACATTTAATCAGCCGACCTAGTCACATCTACAGAATATAAAACCAATATACTCCTCTTCCAACCCTAAATGTAAATTCCAATTAACTAATTTAAATATATTAAAAATATTAATTAAATTAGTTAATATAATATATATTTTAAAAATATTTTAAATATTTTTCTTAATCCTCTTCCTTCCTCTCCTACTTCATTATTATTAGAGAATATTAGTAAGATTAATTAAAAAATAGTAATCATATGGAATAGGTCTAATATATAAGCTAAAACTAATATTAACTTTTTAATTAAACTCTATTAAGGACAGGACGAGTACTACGCTGGGGCTGGGTAATACGGTAAGAATAAGACCAAATAATTTAAATAGCAAAGTGAGATTCTAAAAGGGAACACAAAATCCTGTCACTGTTTGTTTGTTTGCTTAGAGAAGAGGTCAGTCAAAAGCCTGAGCGGATAGTCTAGCCAGCTGCCATATCATTCATGGACGCGCTTCTGAGCTCAGGCCAAAAAAAAAAAATGTATGCACTTCTGAGCAGGAGATCACTCTGGTTTTAAATAACATCTCCTCAATCTCACTTTGTCAACATAACATGTTGTATTTCATAAATTATAATTAAAAATAAATTTATAAATTATTTCAAACAAACTAATGGTTCAGCTCGATTTGATCTAAATTAACCAAAGTCTAATATAATTTTTAGATATTAGGTGGTTTGATTAAAAAAAAAAAAACTCTCCCCTAATCTTAAATGTATGTAGGAACTAAATACTTAATTTACAAATATTAAAAAAATTAATTATGTTAGTTATTTATATAAAATATGTGTTAATTTTTCTAAAACACCCGCTTCAATTATTTACACGAAAACTACTTCTCTTGATGGAAATCCTTTTTAGTATATATAATCAATAAAAATATTTTTAAAAAATTATAAATTTAAAAGACAAAATAAATTTAATTCTTATATAAACAAAACAAACGTCTGAAATAGTTTTTATATTTAGAAAAAAAAATACTGTAACTTTCTTTTTTTTGGTGGGGTCATGAAGAGTTGTTAAATTTTAGTGAATTGGATTCCAGAATGTTCAGAAGGATCAAGAATTTAAGCGGGGGTTATGGTTCAAAAATGCTTACCAAAGAAGCTATGTAGACGATAACCATAAAATTAGATAAAGGAAAGAGAAAGGAACGACCCTCCAATGCATGTTGAAGCCATTAAAACTGCAAACTGCTACTTTTTAACTGAACATAAAGTACACATAAAGCGGATATAATAGCTGTTGGCTTCGCTGCTTGATGACAATATACAATCAGTCTTCTTTTCAAAAGGAAAGTTAAAAGGATTAATTTAAGGGAAGATTCTGATAGGGGATTACCATCTTGATCAAATTCAATTCGGCTCGTTCATGGAGCCCATCAGTGTTTTAGATTTTGATTTTTGAGTTCTCAAATCAAAGGCTTTAGTTTCATGACACGTTACACAACCTAAATGAATTATTTATAAGAAGTAGACAGCTAATTTTGAGAAATAAAGTGGATTGAGATCTTATATTTAAGACTAAATCTAATCTCTAACTAGTTCTTATATATATTTTATTACTTGTTTACTTGACAGGCATGGCTTTCACAAAAAAAAGTGGGATTAGTGCGCAAATAGGATTATATATAATTAAATAATATTGGTGGGATTGGTATCAATTAGTGGATTCACTGATGCAACACTTAAAGGAATAAGCCTCCTCCAATAAACAAAAGTCAAGCACGAATCAAACGCTAAGTGGAGGCTTGATACGCATGTTTGATAATATTTGTGTGTGTATATATAGAGGGAAGGAAAAACTTTTAGATAAACTTTATTAATTTTTAATAGATTAAGTTTCTTATATGAACACAAATGGAGATTGGTTCAATTGGTGTAAATGCCATTCATGCACATATAAAATGTTGTCTGTGTAAATAAATATAGAAAAAATATATATCAGAGATGATTCTCATTACTAATGTTTTTTTTCCTTCATTATTTAGTTGATCAGGCTTGCTTTTTAAAGTTTCCCTAACCTTATTTCATTTGAATATTTTAGTACGGATTATTTTATTCTTTGACAAAGTTTCAGAATAGAAATCTTTTTGTATGGAGATTGGACATGATTCATTATTCCATTTTGAGCTCACCCACATGGCCTTTGTGCGAGAAAACAAATTTGTAAATGTTGAACGTGTGGTTGGCTCATTGGTGGAGTATAAATAATATTAAGCTAGAAATATTATAAAATTCTTACATTAAAGTATACAATTTGGATTATAGCAGAAGAAAAGAAAACAGAACTAAAATTGAGATCATATAAGAATTATTTTATAAATTTATTCAAGGGAACAGACATGACCGATGCCCATCATGATTAGTGGCAAATAGAGAATTAGAGAAAGATTAGGTAATTAGGTTAAGGCTAAGATGTAAAATATAAACTAACACTATTATTTTTCACGTACTTATTTAATCTCATTTAATCAATAAAAATTAAATTGGACATGGTGGCGGTACACTAGTACTCCTTCATCATTATTTTACTATTAAGGAAAAGCAAAGAGGCCATTTGGATATTGAATAGATAAAACCATACCGCTTGTGAGCTATCTTCAATCATTAGCTATTTAAAGCAAGAGTCAGGGGCTTAGCTTGTCCACTCTCTTTCTGGGGGAACCCTTTTGGGAATCCCACAAGAACCAGTAAGAGTCTTTCAAGTGTGGTTTCTGAATCTGATGGGCATGAAGCTTTGCTGGCAAAAATCTAGCCATGGATCTTAGAGAAGCTTGGAGAGGAGGGGTCCTAGGTCTTTAACTCTTGAGGTCCCTCCATTTTTCACAGTTCGCTTGAGCTTTTGCTAATGGCTTCTTCTCTGATCACAAAGCGCTTAAACAGAAAGGTATTCTGTGTGAGAAGCAGAGAAGCCAAGAGGGAGAGAGAGAGAGATAGAGGCTATGGCTGAAGCCAGGTGAACCGGCAAGTCACAAAAAGGCAATGGACTCTGTTTAGGAGTTCTTATGATGGCTATATCTATGTTCTATGCTTTTGATTCTGTAGTATTTTATGTTTCTTTTTTGAGGTAGGATCATGTAATAAAGAAACCAGCTTGAGGTTTGTCCTAATTTGCAGCTGACTTGAATTCCCTTTTGTTCTCTTCTCTTCAGTCCTTTGTTCTGCAGATGTTCAGATAGGTAACTGTGATGGTCATCTCTTCGTCCACTTCCTCTTTCTGTATCTGTTTTCTTCTGGTCGTTCTTACGTGTCTGTATTATGATAGTTATGGTGTTGTGAACAATAAGAGAACATATAGCAGTGGTTTTCAAGAGTTTTAATGCTTGGCCTTGTATCCGGCCTGAGATCTTTTCATGAATGCGAAATTTTTTATTACTATATCCGATTCAGACGTGTGTGTTGGGGGGAATGCGAAATTTCTGATTACCATGCCAGATTCAGATGTGTGTGTGTTTTTTCTTTTTCTTTTTTTGGGGGGGGGGGGTTCTGGTTTTGTCTGTATATAATAACAGAAATCGTATGTCACCTAAACTTTCCTCTGATGACTCTTGGGATCGGTCAAGAGATAGAGTGGGTTTGAGTTAAAACTTGAGATGTCTTAGATTCTTTTAAAAAGGTGCCATGTACCAGCTGTACCATTCATTGCAGGGACCAACAGGAAAGAAAACTGAGTTCTTATTGGCAGCAGAAGAAGCAGATGTCCATTCAGTTATCTTAGGATTTGATTATGTGGTGGAGAGTAATTTGAGATGTTGTACGGACAATACCAATCAGAAAGATCATTTTCTCTAATGCTGCTTCAGCCAATTGAGTTGATTTTTGGAGTTAAAACTGTCATGTGTCATCTACAACCATCTTCCTCGTTATGAGGGTAACAGAAAACATTTTGATCTTCCATTTTTCTTTACCCAATCTTGCAAAAGCGTGCTAATAAGAATATGATTACAAAACCCAAATATCTCAACTCATCACACTAATCTTCCTCAGAAACTATAACTGAAAATGTGGGAAAAAAGAATTAAAATATACAGGTATCAAGAATCAGGAAGTGGGTATGAAATGACTTTGAGTGAAGTTTCAGTTGGTCCTTTTCCAAGTGCCCTTGCCATTTTTCAAGAGGGATGCGTAGAGCAACTCGTTCCAGGTGTCTGGTACGCCGGGTAAGCACCAATGGCTGCAATCTTGGTGCTGCTCGGCCGAGTTTCGTTCGTGGGCGGTTTTATATTCCATTCTGTATATAGAAGGATGTCCATCTTTCCTGTAATCTGTGAGCCTGCTTATGTTCAAATATGTCACCGGGGTTTTCATCTTTCTGAGCACATGATCTAGAGCTCTCATTTTTGAAGGATACTTTTGTAAGAAAGCCTCATTGTATATCGGCTCCGTTTCTCTGTGACACTGTCCTCCAGAATTCCATTGCCCTCCCCTGCAACCATGTCAAGAAAAATCTCAAAATTTTCAATTTTGGCACACCAGATTACTACAAATCCTGGACAAATTTCAACTGGAGCATTGTACATAAACCATGTATGTAACCCCCTCATGAATGTTGATCAATAAACAGACTAAGAAAACAAGAATGAAATCTACTGAAATAAGAGAATTACTTGAAGTGGGTGGGGGAATATCCTCGGAAGAAAACCTGCGTTCGCTCAGCATCAATGTTTCTGCCAATCCACCGAGCCCAAGTGGTCAGAGCCCGAGTATATGCATCAAGAACCTTGAGCCTTGGGTGCACCACATCACCTTCTTGATAATAGTCTTCTCTGTGACAGCAGAATCAACATGACTTGGTTAGTCCCAAATGCCTACTGTCAATGCAGGCCTTGAAGAGCAGAAGGGATTAGAAAAACTGACCCTCTAGAAGTTTTCTCATGGGTCCACCAATGGCCTGTATTGAACACTATAATATCAGCATCATGATAAGTATGAGTTGTCTGGTCCATCAGATCCAATCTTAATGTCTCGAAAGATCCATTTTTTCCTTGGTAAGTTGATTCTCTTACGAGGAATGGTGAACCAACAAAGTCAACTGTACAATTATAGTCCTACATTGAAGCAAAAAAAGAAATCCCAAAATGAGAAGCATACTATCACAAGATCTATATTTTGCACAATCTTCCAATGTAACAGAGACTTGCCTCGAATCTAAAAGCATAAACACCTTTCTTCTTAAATTGCGTCTTTCCTGAGATCTCATAAACTCGTTTCTTGTTAGGGATGCTTTGTCGGAGGATACAAACCAAAGATTCCCACATGTTCCTGTTCAATGAATCCCCCACAAATACAAGCTTCCCACCTCTCAATCTCTCCAGAAAATCAGTAGCATTTAAACTGAAAAATCCCACCAATAATAAATCAACATCTAAGACAGTTCCATCAGAATTTGAAAAAAGTCATCACCGATTCGCTTACAGTTAAAGTTATAATAGGCCAAAACAAGCACTTATCCCTCTAATCAATGATAATGTAAAAGCCTACTGAACATTTTTTTAATACCAAGTGGTAGTTTTATATTCTGCAGACACCTTACCATCCATCAGTATGTTCATCAAAGAAAAACTAGTTCCCATTCGTGATGAATCAGAGAAAGAAAATCATACCTTGGAATGTCGCAGTCATTCGGCTGCCATTTCCATTTCACATAATCGCCATCAGGTCTTCCATTAATGTGGCAATTGAAATCCCTATCGATGTGAGGGCAAGAACCCATGGGATAATATGGTTTTGAATAATCTCTTACCCACTTACCATCGAAAATGTTGCAGTTCTCATAGAAACTGATCTTCATTTTCTCTGCATGTGAATCTTTAGCAATGACACTTGCATTATCCATGCTGTTATTTTCTGCACTGAAATTGGCATTCTTTGGTGATTCTGGTGCAGGAAATTTCTGTGTTTCCTTATTTGCTTTGTCAAAAAGACTTGTGCTTGCATGGGTTCCTCTCCCACTACCAATCAAGTTTACATCTTGACCTGCTTGGGAGGTATTCTCCGGGCGAGTGCTTAGTGAATCCAAAATATTTGCTTTCTCAGAACCCAATGTGCCGTTTGTTTCATGGATTTCTTCCTGTTGAACCTTTGGTTCTTCAGAATGCAAGCTTGCATTCTTATAGTTCTCTGTTAAATTTTCCTCCAGAGGATTCGTCTGTGGAACATTCACTTCGCCAGTTTTACCCACACGAACACTTCCTTCCTCACTATTCTGCCCAGAATTCACAGAGACATTACTCGCAGAAGAAGAAGATGAAAATGAAAAGGGCAAAGAGGGAAAGGAAGAATTTGAACCATCATTATCTAGTCCTTGAAGAAAGCCCTGAACTTTAGGATTAAGGGAATGATCAAGAAAGATAAGAGTGAAAATAAGAAGAGAAGCTACAACCCCTAAACTAAACCCAGAAACTACTTTCCTTCTCTGTGACAGAAACGGCTCCGAAAAGACAAGTTTCTTACTAGAGTCCATGAAAAAGAAAATGTTTTCCGTATAAAACAAAGTGGATCCAAGGCATAGAAGAAGAAGGAAGGACAATGCCCAGCGACACTTCAGAGATGAGCAAGATACAGTTATGAATTAGAGGATGATGCAGATATTGAAACCCACAACCACAAAAACAAAGGGGCTGTATTGAATATTGAGAACACTCAAAAAGCCAGAGCAGAGCGCAGAGAGAGAGAGAGAGAGAGAGAGAGAGAGAGAGAGACTACACCCTTTCTTTTTCTTCTGTTACTATCTCGGTCATTTTTCCTAGGACTGGTTTTTACCTTTTTTCCCTCAAGGGTCTTTAGTTATGCAACCCCAGAAAGAGAACCTGCGATTTCTAATTTATTTTGTTTTGAAGATGACCGAACTGGAAATTATATATTTTATTTATATTATTAATTAATGTCAAAGATATAATTTTTCAGAATAAATTGGGATCAAACATCCTAATATTATTTTTTTAGTATATTATCTTTTGATACTTCAAATGCTTTAATTTTATTTATACTGTATCTAATATTTTTTTTGCCAACATAATGCATCTAATACGTGAGATGTAACTTAGACAATAACTTAATAATAAGAGGTGTTGGATGTATCGTAAATATAATATTAGAATATTATATACATTGTAAAAAAAATTAGGGTTTTAGAAGCTACCCTACCCTAATTTTAACTGGCATAATTTTTTAACCCAGAAGGTAAATAATTAATTTTTATATTTCTATTGAAAATTGAGAAGCGATAATAAAAAGAAAACGTGTGGATCTAAATTAAATATTTGGTTGGGAATCAAGGGATTCTGTAATTACATAAGCTAAAGTGACCCCTAACAACTGCAACCAATTTTGAGCGAATCCTAAGCCATGAAAGGAAGTCATCATAAGGATTTTCATTATTATTGAGATTTAGATTCGTATGAATTAAGACTGAATTTGACCAAATTAATAATCAATTTAGAATCATATAATAATTTAGTAATATCTTCCCTTATTTGTAAAACTGAAATTAGCAAAAATTTGGGTAATCTTAACCAATAATTGGTGTTTTCAAAATTTAATTAAGTCTCCGATTCCTTATGATTAGAATGTGGAATTTAGGAAGTCATTTAGATTTCGTACTCTGTACGTAATAAATTAATGTGTTTTTAAATTCATTGGATTCTATTTCGAAAATTAAGGAGGTTTTTAACTAAGAATAAACCATGTTATCATGTTGATTAATTAATGATTTAGTTTCATTTTGCCTCTCAGATAGGGGTGATTCTCAAAGATGCAATTGGATTTGGATCCAAATCTGACATAATGATACTCTTTAATATTGATGGTGGAGTTATTTTTTTTTTAAATAACTTTTTGGTCCACGTTATCGAATCATTATTATGGTTAATATTCTTTAATTAAGGCTGAATCCAGAGAAATGATGAATCTATACCCGTGAATAATAAAACTAAGCACCAAAAAGAGGGATCTTAGTGAGAGAAAAATTAATAATGTTAAGCGTACAAGATATATTAGAAAAATAAGGTTAAGATGTAGATATAATATCAATAAGATGATAAATAAAATTAGGATATTTGAGCCTTACTGAGAAATAACATGTTAAATTCTACTCTATCATAAAAAGAATAATTAATTTTTTAAGAATTAATATGAAACAACTTTTTTCTTATAATTAAAACGCACAGGAAAAACCTAGTGAAAAAAAAATTACGGTATATTTTAGAACGAGAGAATATTATTGGCATCGAGAAATTAATGAAAGCGGTAATTAATTACTAGTCGTTGGCAGGCAGAGGAATATGGAGCACCGACATGTGCACGACACGTGGCGTAATGAGCGTGAGACAGAGGGACGGGGAGGGTCAGGCCTGGTCGGGAAGGCACGGGCCCGTGCATGAAGGGCCGGTGCGGTGTCAAGTTAAATAGCGTTGGCGCCGCAAAACCTGATCCCTGTGACTTTGACACGTGGCACTAATGACCTGGCAGTGCTCTTCTTTAGATTAACGTGATGATTGCTTGGGGTGCAGGATTCCACCGGTGTGGAAGCATGTATCCAATGTTTCCCTTCAACTTAACGGGGAATCATACTCTCTTTGTTCATTTTATATGTATTTATGTTGAGGTGGGCGGAGAAAATTATCAAAAGCATCAGAATCAATCACTTCAGATGTGGGGATGGGGATTGCATGGAGAGGCATCCCGCTGTTTTTTTTTTTTTTTGGGGATAGGTAAGGCAAGCGTGAGCTTGAAACTACAAAGTCAGAATATTAAATTACACGGCCTACGAAAGCTGCGTTCTGTGACTACTCTCAGAGTCTAGCTGCATTTGGTGAACACAAAAGCTTGAGGATTTTGAATCTGATTCACCTCCATAGATACTTGATGAGCATTTTTCGCCAGGTAGTCTGCGCAGCGCAGCGATTCCCTACAAGCATGAGCTATCTCCAGATCCCAATTTGAGAATATGATGGACCTCGTTTCGTATATTTCATCCTTGAACGGATGTGAAGATCCACCCCCATGCTGTAGTAGGTATAACGCCTCTCTTGAATCTGTGAACAGCTTGATCTTTGAGAGATTTAGCTTTTTACATAATAACAGACCTGATCTAATGGCCAATAGCTCAGCAATTGTCGAACCCACTGATCCCAAATTCTGTTGAAATCCCGATAACCAACTACCGTCTTCATCCCTCAGTATCCCCCCACATGCTGCATGATCCTGGTCGGACACAGGGCCATCCGCATCTAGTCTAACGTAGGTTGGTGGTGGTAGAGTCTGTAATATCCTCTAAAAAAAAATTCAAAAAAAAAAGTAATTGAAAAATAATATAATATAATATAATATAATAATATTATTTTTTTTTAAAAAAAAAAAAAACTTTCCACCGAAATATCGGTGGAAAGTTGGAGGAGGGGTGGAAAATTGGGGGAGGGTGGAAAACGTGGGGTTGGGTTTGAAAAAAACCCCTCCCCCAATAATTGTGTGGGGGTGTTAAATACCCCCCACAATTCATTTCCCTCCGGTAGGTGCAAGAAGAAAGAGAGAAAGAGAAGAAGAAAAGAGAGGAAGAGAGAGCTGAAGTGTGTGAGAGATAGGAGTATACCGGTGAAGCAGAGAGTAAGCTTTGAGGATATTTTAGGTACATGAAATTATCTCTTTTCATCAAACTTTCTTCATAAATATTTCATATATATTTTATGCTTCCTAATAGTAGTATTATCATAGTGATTAGAGAAAATTTTGAGACTTATATATGATATAAGTATTGAGTTTTTACAAAAGATGACTATCAAAATTTAGAAGTTAATGAGTTGTTAATTTTAATCGGTTTGGATTGGTCCATTTGTTGGTTTTTAGTGCTTAAATGGATTTTTCTAGTTGAAAAATATGTGATATATGATTTATATTATATTTTTACCGATTAAATTCAAGTTAAGTAATTTATTTGGATTGTTTGATATATTATTGAGATTTTAATCGGTTTAGTTTTATTTATTGGGTGACTGGAGGTTTTAAAATAATTATTGTAGCTAAAAAGTTTATTATTTATGGAAATATATATATATGGTAGTTATACCATTAAAGTTTTGATTATATTATTTAGTTATAAATATTTGAAATATTATTGAATTTTTGACAGTGTGATTTTGAGGTTTAAACTTAAATGAAGATTTTTAGAATTTAGAACATAGTAATTTTATATTTGGAAATTATGAAAAATCCTTTTTATTAAGGTAAATAATTTGGAGATGGTAAATAAATAATTTGGGGTTGTTAGAAATTTTAAGTTGTTTCTAAAATACTTAATAATTTCTGAGTTATGAGAGTTGCGGGAATTTAGAGTAAAAATTTAAATAATATAGAGAAATTTAATTAATTAATTTATATTAATATGTGGTTATATTAATTGTGTAGATTAATTATTGGTTGAGCAAAGGATTGACCTTGTGGTAATCCTTAGTATTGCTTTGGTGAGAGGTAACCACTTTCCACTTGTTATATGTGCTAATATGTTGTTTGTGAGTATTTTGCTATTTTTCGAATAATATTTGATATTTGGAATTTGAGTAGATATGTTATATCTTTTGAGCTATAAAAATTGTCTTGTGGGATTTTTGGAATGGTGATTGAGAAGTTTGGAAAAGATATATGATTTATATCTTATGGATTATACTGAGAAAAAATTGAGACATTTTTATTATATTGTGAATGATTGGTTGTTATTTGGATTTTGGATTGAGTCCTATCCTACCACGTGGTAAGGCCGCCATTGGTGCACATTGGTTGGCTTCTTCTTTCGTCCCCCATAATGAGAGATAGGCCTTTGTGGCTTCTTATTCGTCCCCCAGAGTGAGGGATAGGCCCATATGTTTGATTGATCCCCCAGAGTGAGGGATAGACTTATGTGGCTTGTGTGTTGGCCCCCATAGTGAGGGTTTGGATGATTGAAATTATATTTCTATGGATATATCTATAGTTCTCGAGAATTGATAACTGTCCCACTTGACACCTCACGAGCACGTGTTAGTATGTATGATGAGTTGGAAAGTTGGTTACTGAGGCGTTTGTCTCACCCCATGGTTTAACATTTTCAGGCGATAGTTCAGGTGGTGGCCTATCAAGGAAGGCTCCGGAGGCATAATGTGCTGTTATAGCTTGTATAGCCTCCCTGCTTTTGTTCTATGTGTTGACTTATTATATATTGCCACATAGGGCTCATCTACTATCATGATGTAAAATAATACTTTTAATTACTACTATCTGGTATGATAGGGCGTGAGGAGGCCCGAGGCATTTTAGACTCTGCATGTAACGCTCCTTTGAAAGTATTGACTTTTGACTAATGAGCTCTATAGTTTATATTAAACTGATTTATCAGTTCGTATGGTTGAAAATATAAGTTTGGTTTGGGCTAATGGTTGAATGATATTTCTGGACTTTGGAAGTCTAAGGCCCAAGATAACGATTGATGTTACTCTTATTATAAGTTTATTTCTTTTAACCATGATAGTGATTTTAAAATTTTAAGGTTTCTTCTTTTCTATCATAGTTAATCATTCAAATAAATTGTTGGATTTAATCTTAAATGGTTTTGAAAGGGCGGTTGTCACACAGGCCACATGCTCTGTGGGTGAAATGTTTGAAAGCTAAGTACAATTGTGGTGGTGAAGAAATGCCAAATGTAGTCGCAAAAAGGAATCAATCAGCAGTTTGGAGGAGTATTACTTCAGTTTGGGAAGTCTTCTCAAAAGGTGTGGGAAGAAAATCAGGAGTGGATCAAACACGAAGGCGTGGGAGGAAATCTGGGCCCCGCTTGAGTTACCACTCAAAGATTATGTGACCAAAAATCACCATCTTCTTGATATGGAAGCGAAGGTCAACAATTTTGTGATGCAAAGGGGAGTGCGGAATCTGAGACAATGGAGCAATTTCTTGCCTCAGTGGGTGATAAACAAGATTCGGGAAGTACCACCCCCAAACGATGGAGGACTCGATGTCTTCTACTGGAGGAAGAGTTTAGATGGCATGTTTAACATCAAGTCAGCTTACAGTTGGGTGTCTGCTCAGACTTTTAGACCAACGATCTCACACTGGAATAATGTCTGGAAACAAGATATCCCGGAGCGAGTGAAAGTCTTCATGTGGCAAATGTTTCACGAGAGACTACCAACAAATTCTCTTAGAGTGAAACTCTATAATACTAACACTTCTGAGTGCCCCTTTGAGTGCCCTTGTGAGGAAACTTTGTTACACACCTTGAGAGACTGCGAGAATGCCTATAATGTGTGGTCTGCTTTTATTAACCCTGATTATATCTCTGGCTTTTTTAGTGGTAATTTTCAGGATTGGCTACAGTGGAATTTCGAAAATGAACCAGGATCAAGACAAATCTCAAAGTGGCAGTGGTTTAGAGTCTTTTCTCTAGCTTGCTGGATGATGTGGAAAAACCGTTGCAAGAAGGCTTTCAACGAAGACTGCATCTCATCCAGGGAGTTGATCAACCAATGTCTACACCTACTCATGGAACGAGTGGAGAACAACCAGCTCAAACACCAGATTTTTCAACGGAATGACGAGACTAATGATACATGGACTCTGTAATATCCTCTAAAAAAAATTAAAAAAAAAGTAATTGAAAAATAAAATAAAATAATATAATATAATATAATAATATTTTATTATATTTTTAAAAAAAAAACAAAAGTCTAACTTTCCACCGATATTTCAGTGGAAAGTTGGAGGGGGGTGGAAAATTGGGGGGAGGGTGGAAAACGTGGGGGTTGGGTTTGAAAAAACCAATTCAAACCCAACCCCCACGTTTTCCACCCTCCCCCCAATTTTCCACCCCCCTCCAACTTTCCACCGAAATATCGGTGGAAAGTTGGACTTTTGTTTTTTTTTAAAAAAAAATATAATAAAATATTATTATATTATATTATATTATATTATTTTTCAATTACTTTTTTTTTGAAAAATTTTTTTAGAGGATATTACAATCTGGTTAGGGGACCCCCAACATAATTTCAAAATAAAAGCCATATTTTGGAAGTACAGATCTTTAATTCCCAAGCCCCCCATTTGTTTATCTGCCTTTATAGTATCCTAAGCTATCAAATGTAACTTCCTCACATCGGATGAATGATTCCAGAAGAAGTCCCTACACAGCTTCTCAACTTCGGCCAAAACCCCTTTTGGTAGCAGGGTTGATTGCATCTGGTAATAAGGGAGAGTAGATAGGACAGATTTGATAAGTGTTATTCTACCTGCCATGCTTAAAAATTTTCCCTTCCAGCTGGCTAGCTTCCTTCTTACCTTTTGAACAATCGGGGCAAAGGTTACCTTCACCATTCTTTTATGCAGAAGCGGGACCCCCAGATATCTTCCAAGGTCTGCAGTTAAATTAATTCCCAGCCAATGACTGAGGGAGTTAGCTTGACTAGAATGAACATTCCGGGAAATAAAAATTCTTGATTTTTGAAGATTTATTTTGTGACCTGACACTTCACAAAAGAAACTCATAATATCCCTTATCTTCTCCATTTGATCCTGGGAAGCTTCACTAAAAAGCACTAAGTCGTCCGCAAAAAACAAATGAGATAGTCTGGGTCCTCGGCTGCAAAGGGAAATGGGTTTCCACTGTCCCTCTTGAACTTCAACATTTATCAGTTGTCCTAATCTTTCCATACAGAGTACAAACAAGTACGGGCTTAGGGGATCTCCTTGTCTCACCCCCTTGTTGGAAAGAACGTTTCTGAAGGTACACCATTCCATAGCACACTCATAGAAGCTGAGGAGACGCACTTCATAATCAAATTAACAAAATCAGCATTCAAACCTAAACTGCAGAGTGTAAATTCAAGAAAGTGCCAATCGAGTCTATCGTAAGCTTTTTCCATGTCGACTTTGATAGCTACAAATCCTTGACCACCCCTTTTCGACCTCATGGTATGAATTGCTTCCTGGGCAATAATGACATTATCACTGATATGATGCCCTCTGATGAAGCTACACTGGTTTGGTTGGATCAGAAAATCCATGACTCCCTTCAGTAGATTGGCCAGGACCTTACTGAGGATTTTGAAGCACACATTACACAGAGAGATGGGTCTGAAATCCTTGAGCTCAGTCGGATGATCTACTTTAGGAATTAGCACTATATTCGTATGATTAATCTCGCTCATTCATGACGGATCTTTAAAGAGTTTTACAATCAGCTCACAAACTTTTGGTCCTATCTCATGCCATTGCGACTGGAAGAAGTGAGGTTGTAAACCGTCCAGCCCCGGTGCTTTGAAGGCTCCCATATCAAAAGCCGCTGCCTTTATTTCCCCTTTTGTCACTTCATGCTGAATAAAAGCAAGTTGCTCTGGGGTAAGGGGTGGAAACTCTCCTGGCCAGTCATTTATCCTAATAACATTCGGGTCTTTTGTATATAGCGCTTTGAAGAAAGCTTGGACCATTTGTCTTAGGATTTTCTGATATGAATGCCAATTCCCATTCTCATCTTGTAAAGATTCCACCCTGGTTCTTTTTCTCTTCATAATTGTGGTAGCATGGAAAAATCTGGAGTTCTTGTCACCAAATTTGAGCCATTGACACCTTGATTTTTGATACCAAATTAGCTCCTCTTGCGTGTTGAGTTTCCAGAACTCCTTCCACAACTTTTTTTCCAGTTTGAAGAGCCCATTACTGAGATTCTGTTGCCGAACTCTATCTATTCCCTCCAGTCTCCTCATGACCTCCTTCTTCTTTTTGGGGACGTTACCTACCACTTTCTCATTCCACTCAGAAACCTTTTCTTCGAAAGAAAGTCTACCTTCACTCCAATTTCTTCTTCCCAAGTAGGCTTTACTAGCTCTTTGAAGTCCGGTTCAAGACACCACGCAGCTTGGTATCTAAAGGATTTCTTTAAGTTAAGGCTGCTACCATTTTTTACGCCAGAGAGAACCAGGACTCTATGGTCCGAATTGAAGCGTAATTGATGGTAATTCTTGAAATGTGGGTGAGTTAATTCCCAGTCAAAGTTACAAAAGGCCCAATCCAGCCTTTCCCTGACCCCTTCTTTTTCCCAAGTGAAACGGTCGCCCACTATTGGTATCTCCATCAGCTCGCAATGGTTCAAGCAAGACTGAAAGGATTCCATCATCTGTCTAACTAGTGGTGCACCGCCTAACTTATCCTTGGGCTCTAAAAAGGCATTGAAATCACCCAAAACAATCCAGGCTCCATCAATACTCTCAGTAATCCTCTTCAGAGACTCCCAAAGCGTCCTTCTTCTACCTATGGTAGTGTCGCCGTAAACAAAAGTAGAAAACATCACCTCACCTGAAGAAACATTCGTGAGTTTACAGTGGATCAGTTGGGTATTGGAGTAGAGATATTCGACGGAAACCTCCTCTTCATTCCATAACACCCAGATCCCTCCAGCATAACCCGTGGCTTCAACCCTGATCCAATGATTAAAGCCCAAGCGCCGTATCACTTTCTCAGCTTTTACTTCGCTTACTCTCATTTCAAATAAACCCATAACATTAATACTATATCTTCTTACAACATCTTTGAAAATACGTGGAAAAGCTCTGCCAGCTGCCCCACGACAATTCCAGGACGATACAATCATTAAGAAAGACATGTAAAGAGATGCCCATAACAGTAAAAAAACTCACTGATCGGGTGGTTTTCCTTCACAAGAAGTGCCCATTTTCTGTGCATTTCCTGGTATAATAAATCCCAAAGGGTCCCCTCCTGATTCAGTCTCCATAGTTTCGTAAAGCGGGGCTTCCGCAATCAACACTTCTCCAGTCTCCAATACCCTTCCCATCTGATTCGGCTGGAGCTCTGAATAAACACCATTCCTGTCTAAGACATCCTCTGCTACCTCCCTCTCTGTATTTTTTCATTGGGCTTCAAGCTTTGGTTCTAATACATTGGGCTCTACAGATTTTAAATTTCAACTGACCACAACATGAGATCTTGGGCTGTGTCTCCTGGGCCCTAATTTTGTGATTGATTCTTGGGCAGCTCCTCCTTCCTCTGCTGAGATATATTTATTGGGTTGGGCCTTTGTTTTCTGGACCACCACTGTTGGTTTAATATTCTCCTTTCCTACACACACCTGGCCTGGTCTTACTTTAAATCCTCCTTTCACCTTTTCTTTCCCCCTGGACGTTGAAACTGTCCTTTTCTCCCTTTGGTTATCTTTCCTGCCTTCGTAGATGACTACTGCATTGTCAGCATTTGTCAATAGATTTGACCCTCTGTCTAGAGCAGTGGTCCCATCATCTTGCTCTTCTAGCTCTTCTTCCAGGTCTGCTATAGCTGCAAACTTTGTCTGTAAATTTCTTCTTCCTTCTTTCCTCACAGGCTGTTGATGAGACCCATTTTCGGCTCCTGTACTTTTTTTAGTCACAAACCTCGAGGTCCGTGTTTTGCTAGGTCCTTTGACAAACATCCATGGCCCAAATTTGTCATCCTCTGTCGTAACTGGGGACGCCGGCGATCTATAACTCGTTGATACTACGTTTGGGGTTTTTGTACATTCTTTCTGCTGTTCGCCTGAGCTGGACTTCCATGGGCAAGCCTCCTTTCGATGCCCGTATCTACCGCACGAAAAACATATCAAACCCAGACCTTCATATTCGACGTTATACAATGCTGAGGTGCATATTATTCTTGGAACCAATTTTTTCTGAAGGTCCAGTTCCACACAGATGCGTGCGAATCGCCCTCTTTCTACCTTTGCTTTGGACTCTTCGATGTTCACTATCGTGTGCATGTCGACCTTAATTGTCTTGCCTATCATATCTCCCAGTCTCCAGATGTATTTCTTTGAGTAGCAGTGAAGAGGTATGTTTGGTATCCTCACCCAGGTGGCAATTCTTCCCAACGGGTTCTGGAAAGGGTCGAAATAGGGGGACCACCGCTGTACACTGTGTTGAGCTACAATCCACGGACCCTCAAAAAGGACCTTCTTATATCTTGCTCCCCAATGCTCATCATCATCGAAACGAACTACGTAATAATTATTTGGGAGGTCGATGAGCTCGAAATCACTAAATCCCCGTATTCGGGAGAGTTGGTCTCTTAATCTGGATAGATGGAATCTCGGTCCGAGAACAGTAATAATTAGCGCGTTGTTCCATAGTTGGCAACATTCATTAAACTCCTCCTCAGTGCATGGGACTACCGGGTACACCTCCATTAGTTTCTTGATATCTTCTGATGGTTCTGGTAGTTTCCATGTTTGGTCTAACAAGTCGGATAGCAGTGGGTCCTCTTCCATTGCTGAGTTGTTATGAGCGACCCCATTGAAACCTTGGGCCTTGAAACCCAAGAGGGAATCGCGGTATGATCTCCCCTGTTCTTTTTCACTTTTGTGCTGTTTAGACATATGGGGTTCAGCTTCATTAAAGCATCCTTCTGCATCTTCCATCTTGTCTGACATTAGTGTGCCTTCTCTAATCTCCTTTTTTTATTTTTTTTGACTGAATCTGCATGGTTCCCTCTTCCGAAGTGCGATCCGGATGGACTTTCCGGCAAGCAGGTTCACCCATCGCAGTTGAAAGTAACCGTGGCACAAGTTTCAAGAGAGAGAAAAATTCAGTCCGGTCTGTCTCACTTTTGCATCCGCTGTTTTTGTCTTCATTCTACATGCTTATGCAAATTAACATTTAATAAGAAAAAGCTGGATATGAATTAAAAAGGGAAAATCACAAAAAAAGACCATAAAATGAGAAAAATTATACACAAGGATCGGCTCACAAAAAATTATTGTGCTAATGTTGTTATAGGTCCTAATTTGTAATTTTTCTAATTGTATGGTCTTTTTTTGGTGATTTCCCTTTTAAAAAGCACTTTCAGGCGGGTCATTACTTTTTTTTTTTTTGCCCCCATCAACCCGTTCTTTTCTAGCAGTTGAGCCTAATCCATATTTTTCAGCTCTAGACGGTTGTCAAAGAGACGGGGAGGAAAGCGTTTATTGACTTCAGAAGTAATAATTTATTTTGAATTTGAAATATGAGATGGGAGATGGTATAAGACGGAGTGAGAAATACGAGATTATCAAAAAGAGGTGAGCTGGGCACATCACTACAATGTGAGAACACAATTTTCTTTTATATGTGAATATGCACGCATATAGAAAAAATGAGATGAGTTGTAATATCTCCTATCCTTAAAATAAAATAAATAGCTGTTATCTTTTTTAAAATATCCTTGTTAATCATGTGTATCAGCTAAAATTGCTATGTGATAGAACCTTTAATATTTACAACCATTACAAAGACTATTTTGAAAAATATGAATAAATATCATAAACAAAGCAAATTAGAATCTTATATTTATGACTAAATTGAATGTCAAACTAGCTCTTATATTAAGAATTAGGGTAGTAATTCATTTTAAATTTCTGATTTTAAACTAAATTTACAAATTAATTATTACCAATCGCATAACACAAATTTACAATTAAAACACCATTTACCATTCAAAAAATACGTTACAATTAAAATAATGAGTATTTATCATGATCGGTCAGTATAAATAAAAGATTTGTAAACTTAGGCATAAGTCTCAAAAAAGAGGGATAAGCGTTTTTTTTTATTTATTTTGAGATTAGAGATGAGATGAGATTTAAAATAGGAGAGATAATTTAAAAAAATTGCTTTTAACAAAGAGATTATGTCAACTTTAATCATAGACAAAAGATAAACTAAAACAAACATTAGTCAGGTGGGGGTGGCCGAGCTTAGTTGTAAACGCATTAATATCCTTCCGGCCGTCGCATAACTGCTGGGAATCCTGAGCGGCCTCTCTTTGTGTTGGACGAGGGAGCTTTAAAAACTGCCACATTTGTTGATTGTGTTGAGATTGCTAATTTGATTATTAGGGTTTGTGATGCTTCTCACCCCTTTAAACATATAATTGATTATACCAGAATGTTTATTTATAGGGATTGGAAATTGACCATAGTTCAAAGGGTTGGGGAAAACCACAGTGTAGCGGATTATTTTAAACTAGTATAGTACCCACGCGATGCATAGATATGAATTAATGTTGTTTTATATACGATAAAATGTCAAATCATCACAAAATAGTTAGCTGAAGATCGCATTTTTGCTTCAAGTCATCATTTTTGCTTAATATGTATAAAAAGTAAAGCATATATAAGTTCTGTAGGCATGCAAAATATATGGATCTATTATCAAGATTTTATTGTTCAATAGTATACCCTTATATTTAAATAATGCCCAATATTTAACAACTTGACTTCTTTTAAGAATTTTTTTTTTTTTTTGATGAGTTTCTTTTAAGAATTTAATTGTGCTAAAATCAATGCATACTTAACATTAACAAATTCAATATAGTTGCTCTCAAATCAACCCTATTGATATTCCTCCAATACTAATTTAACTGCTATTATTAATCTACTCAAATTATTTAATTAGATCTTATATTAAGGAATAGAAAAGTATTTTATATACTTGAGAAGGACTCTGAAAACGACAACACAATGAATAATGAAAAATTCCATGTAACCAAGAAGTCTTACTTTCAAGTTTAACTCATGTATAAGGCATATGCAAATATAGCCTATCGATGGAATGATAAAAAGAACAAAGTAGAAACTCTATTTCACAGCTCTACTATACAAATCACAGTAATATTATGGAATTTATTTATTTGTATAAAGAGGAACAAACAGTTATTTCATTGGCTTCCTAATTTTTCTGTTGATAAGTGAAATAGGAACAATAGGAAAAAAAATCTATTTATTTATGAGTTAAGATACATTCAGCACCTCGCAATATTTTTTAGAGTGTATCCGGTACCTTAAAGTATTTTATGATGCATCCAACACTATAAAGCATTTTCTCGGGTGCGTTTAGTATCGTGAAGTACTTTTTGATGCATCTAACACTTAGAAGTTTTTTTTTAAGTAAGTCCAGCACTCAAAAATATCTTTTGGTGCAGCCAGCACTAAGGCCAAAAAAAATATTTTAAGGTGCTAGACGCACTTGAAAAATACTTCGGAGTACTGGATGCATTACAAAACATTTCATGGTGCTGGATGGCCTTGAAAAAATACTTCGAGACACTGGGTGCACCTCAACCCTTCATTTATTATGCATTATTTATCAATGTTAATTATTTTGAATTAGGAAAATACATTTTACTTTTTTAATTTGAATTATTTTTGGAGCATTTTTCTATCCTTATTTATTTATGCTATTTTTGTTTTTGGGCTGAACATGTGAAGTAGAGATAATAAGAAGATAATCAAAATGGATGGGAGAACGTGGCATGCTAGGGATATGCTTATTTTGTAGCTTAGTGAGGTTATTCACATAGTAAGCCATGAGCCTGTGATAGTGCCCGTGCGCTGTATTTCCTTTAAAAATATTGGATTAACAAAGACACAATGGCTAACGAGTTCAAGCTCACGTACTTTATACACATAGTATGTTGTGTGCCAGTGATAGTACCAATGCGCTATACATAGGAAATTTTATAGCCAATAAGTGCACA